CTGCGCCCGAGCTGTCCCTTTGAAGAAATCTACCTCCTCGCTCTTCGTCGGGTCTGCGCGTACTTCTTTGACCGTTGGTATTCTCATGCTGTTGGCCATCTTGCCAAGGACGATCTTATTCATTGCCCATATCATCATGTTGTCATGTATTTGNAATTCCTCTGGAACTCTTCTATTCCTACTGGGATCCCGACAACTGGCATGCCACCTTCAGCAACTGACAGACCAATTTTCGTCAATTGTTGCTGTTCGTCGTTTGTCAAAGAGGACATGCAAAGACCTTCCGGGAAAAGCACTTTGGATTTCGGGAGACTGAGCTCAATCCCTTTTTGGGAGAGACGTTCCTGAGTCCAATTCGTTACAGTGGATATGGCCTGCATGTTCCTAGCCAAACCTGGTGGAAGATGTGCTTGGAGGTCGTCGACGTATCCGATGAGTTTGACTCCTGGCACCGGTGGCTTGTTGTTGAACTCTTTCATATCAAGGAGTCTTAACACAGAAGCCGAACCCTCCCAAATTGCAGCCTTGTTGAACTCCGCGCTGTGAAAGAACAACCTCGATCGAACCATCTTCCATTTTGAACAGAAGTTTCGCCTTGGTGTGAGCGTAGATGTTCCCGAAGTACTCCACCAAGTGTGGCGCATGAGTGGCCACTGCTGGCAAGATGGAAGATCTGCGCATGCTGTTGTAAGCATTTTTCCCATCAAAGGAGAGAATGGTGCTGCCTTGCTGGTGGCTGAGGGTTGGTTGCTGTGTCTGCATTGCTGCATGAGCGTCTCTTTGGTCTGTATGCGCGCCCGTTGGTTTTGTTGTCCCTTGTGTGTCATGCATTTATTTGTGGCGTACCGTTGTGCGCTGCTTGCCAGCCTTGCCGCGGGCATCTTCCCGTGCCTGGTATCTTCCCGTGTCTGGAGCATGTTCATGACATGTTCCTCCGCGGTCGGTCCGCAGTCGGCAGCCATGAATAGGAAAGATGCCATGGATACGGTGCTGAGAGGTTCTGAGACGTTTCGAGGCTATTCGATGTTCTGCCGTGCGGTGACGTGGAGGTCGATTTCCGCTCGATTTCCGCTGTCCGTAAAGCGGACAAAAGTGGGTTACAATTTGGACAAAAGTGGGTCAAAATATGGACACAAGTGGGTACATGAAAAAATTAGTTGACGCCGCTGGGTATACCCACCGCGATGTCGGACAGAAGTGGGCACTCTGGTGAGGCCTTGCGCGTCTCGGCGGTATAAGGGCCAAAAGTGTGCCTGAAAGTGGGAAAAAATCGATGCCCGTGCTGTGTATGGTCCCTGGCTGTGTCGCCCAGGTGTCAGGATGGGGTTTTGAGTCGTTTGGGGGTCGCCTATGGAGGGCCCGCGCGCCGGATTTTCGAGTACCCACTTTTGTCCGACAATGCGTGGGTATACCCACTTTTGTCCATTTCCCTTGTAAATATGGCTGGGGTACAACCATATTTTTGGCAAAATGCTGAATGGACCAAAATAATCTTCCCGCCCCAAATCTGAAGTTTGAAACAACTCTAGCTGGAGAATTTGCCTCTGGTCCATTGTAGTTATTGTATAATGAGTGGTGGTGTACCGCCGGGGCCATTGATCAATCCATGAGGGAAGCATCGATATATATTCGACGAGCAATACACACTGCTGTAGCATCGATATAGATTGGGTGAACAATATCTAGTCTACGTTGTTGTATTTGTATCGACATACAACCGGTCGCCCCGGTGGTCTAGTGGGTAGCCTCGTAGCCTGATAAGGGCCAGGTCATGGGTTCGAGTCCCGACAGAGTGAGTTTTTTCTCGCTTGAAAAAACCTGGTCTCCGTTGGAAGCGACGCGCTGCAAAGCTCGTTGTTAGTAAACTTGATCGACTTCATAAGTCGCGAGGGAAGGGATTGCTGTACCCTTCTCGCGAAAAAAACATCTCAGGCAGGAACCGCAGGAGGGGGTCCAACCCCCCCCTCCTATGTGACCCCGGTTGGGTCGTCTAGCTGGTAGAAGTGGAGGATAGGGGCCAGAGGGAGGGGCAGACGACAGAATCCAATGATGGGAGAAAAACAAACAAACATTGGCTGTATTGAATGCTGTCGAGGTTTGATTTCGATACATGTTGGTACAACCAACTCGTTTTTCCGGCGATACAATGCAACAAATTGCCCTCTCCAGCACATTCTCTGCACGCCGAGCGATAGACATTGCCCTTGTGATACGTTTTGAAAGGACACATGCTATCGTATATCGCAGCAAGCAGCAGGTCCATGAACTCTCAATCGATACGTATGTCCCCCAACGATACATTGTGAAGACACGTGTCAATGCGTGTTACAGCCACTTTATAACGTGACGTATTACGATAGGAGGAACGTATCGATATGCGTTGACGCATTGTATATTGTTCAGGGTGTGGTACACAACAGTTTTGTTTAGCCCTTACGGGTTTCATCGTGCTTCTCGATGTCCTTCAGGGCGCAAATCATGAGACATTTCTCGGGAGGCGCCGCCGTGCCCTTCATGTTCAAGTTGATAGCGGCACGCTGACGTGCGTCATGAGGGCACCGTGGTGCTTGATTGAGCTGCCAAAGTAACGACGATCGATTATCACCATAAATGTATCTTGAAGAAGCAAACAATTTTACCCAAGCCTAGACTAGACTATGCTTGTTTTCATGGAGCAACATCGTTGGGAGACGTGATATGAGTAGCAAAAATTGTGCGCGACTGGTGTTGTTCGCTGTTCGTAAAACACACCACAGCAGTTATGGGACGCATGTTTGGCAAGAGTTCCAGAGGTTCCAACAAATGGTCGGGAGTGCAGGGGGGGGGGGGGGGGGGGGG